TCCCCGAAGGGAAAGCAGGGACAGAATTAATTTCATCTCAGCAGATCACAGCAGTTCCTTAAGAGTTAACTCTGCTATCCCCATCCATCAGGCAGCCAGCGAGGCATTAGGAAGGAATGATGGATGTAAAATTATTACAGGGCTGCCACCCGATATACTTACTGCCATTTGTAACTAACGCTGGTACTGACACACTTTTTTCATTATTAAACATCCACATTAAGTCAACATTGGTCACTGTCATTTCATGTTTGGCACTCTCTTAAGGGGAAGAGGGGGAGCTGGGGGTGGGAGTGGGGAGGATGGTGGGAGGAGGGTGAGTGGGAAAAGGAGGAAATGCATCCTGAACCCTGTGTTCCATAAGCATGAGTAGTAAATAGGCTCCTGCTTACAATGCTGCAAGAAATATTGTTACAAATAGCTCTTTAGTTACAGCCCAGCAGACAAGTACATGTCAGAGCCTTTTAAAAGGACACACTCCAAGCGCTAACAGGGAGAACTTGTATCACAGGTTAAGAAACACTTCAGCACAGCATGTACACCTATTGGGATGCAATCATCTCAGAGGGTGCTAGGAGTGTGTCTGCATCCGTACAGTCTGAAAGGCCGGTGTGTCTGTGCACCCGCACCCCGCTGGCACCAGCAGCAGGCACCAGCATTCGGAAACCAGGACCTGCCTTTGTACCAGTGCACACAGACACGCTCAAATACCTGCCTGTGTGCCTCCTTCCTCCTTTTTTTACAGTTACCAGGGTACATATGCAAATGTTTGAGTGTCTGACTGTAGTCAGGAAATTACTGGCTAACTCAGTACATGTTTGTGCTGTGTATCTCTGAAAGAATGCACTGTAGGCTTGAATGCATGCACACACATGCTGGCTTTTGGTGTCTGTGTACATCCTCTTTGCAGAGGAACAGGCAGTTCTGAGGCCAAACAAACAGACCAGAGTCCACTTGCTGATGTTGCCCATTGTGATGTTCGCACTAGATGACAATCCACACTTTAAGCTACATGTATAAAAGGTAACACTGTTTATGTATAGTACATATCAAGCTATAATTAACTGTAGATGACAATTACAAATAAAACTACGCTCCTAGGTTTCCAAGAAACCAGAAAAACATATGCAGAGACTTCTCATTTATACATGGAAATGTTTCCAAGAAAAGTAATGTAAAAATATGTTTTATTGCATTTGCAATTAAAATAGGTTTTAGTAAAATCCATGTTCATCATGATGCTCATAGTTTTTACTGTAATCCTCTGAAAATCAAATCCCTCAAGATAGTCCAAGTTGGGTGCCCATAAAGTAACTCACCCAAATCGTCCTAGTATTTTTTTTTTATTCTTTTTTTTTTCTCATTTATGACTCCTTTCATGCAGTTTCACTCCACTTCCACAAAATTCCTGTCTGACCACTGCCTTGCAGCTGGCAGGTCTAGCTGTCCACAGGGACCAACATATCTGGGAACACAGGCAAGGTAACAGGTCATGCACAAGTGTGGAGAAAAGACCCAAGAGCTTTAACAGAGACTCACAAAGGTGACGTTTCAGCCTGGAGCCTGCCCAGCTACCCCTGGCATATAAATCTCTACCAGGAGTCTGACATACATGTTCAGGACTGCACAGAGCCAACCTTAACTGGTCAGCTGCAGTGGCAACTCATCCAACAAAAACCCACATGTTTCAGAGAATGGTAGCCCTCCATAACTAGCCACTGCAGCAAAGAAGGGAGGAAAATTTGGGATAGCCCCAGATGGGTGTTTGTTGATCAAGAAGACTGAGATCACTCTACAGGAAGGAGAATCTTAACTTAATATGTAACATAACTACAGACATAATGTACATTTCTCAGTACAAACATGCTTCTGAATACAAAGTTACATTAGGTTTTTTTAATCCCAACCTCCACCTCAAAATCTCCCTGTCAGGAAGCAACCAGTGAGCAAACAATGTCCCAGAAGTTCAGGGGCCCAGCAGGACCTTGAGCTTCTCATGGGAAACCCTCAATGGTAACACTGCAGCCCTCTATTCCTCACTACACACCTTCCCAGCTACCTCATTTTATTTCCCCTAAAACCAGGGAAAACCCAAGTAAACTTTAATTCAAAATGGCAACACTTGTCTTCCTCTCAAATCTTGCTCTTAGTAAGAGAGAAAACTTTAAAGTCCTAGATAAAACTTTAGAGAAGTTGGGGTGTTTGTCTGGATCTGAACTTCACAGCTTGTCAGTGGGCGACCTGTGGGAAAGGAGAACAAGAACCCAATCTTTACAGTCTACGTCTTGCCCTCTGTTGCGTTAAATGCCAGAGACATATCAGGAGTTAAAAAGCGCAAATTCTTAACTAGTTTCTTTAGGTGTCACATGATAGCCTAGGAGAGCTCAAACATGTTTCTGTCTTTTCCTGTCTCCACTTTAAAATAAAAAAAATTAAAATAAATCAGTGCACTCTGGTAAAGTCTTGGCCTTTATTCTACAGCCCCAAATCCTACAGTTGCTTTAGAAAAAAATTCAGTTGAGCAAATAATTTTTTCTTCCTGCTACCTTGTAAAAGAACTCCTCTCTGCCCTCCACAAGCCCACCAGGAGGCATGAATTAGAGAGGAAAATAAACTTCAACTGGGGTTGAGGGTGAGAAGTGAAAACAGAAGGGGTAAGGAGAATCCCAACAATAGGAAAGTAACAGAATAAAGTGAATGCAGATGGTTTCACTCCTGTTACTTAATCAAAAGGCTGTGCAGAGTCACTAGAGCCAGCATAAAGTCATGTGTTAGAACAACAGCTGATCTGTATTAAAGAAGATTAACTCGCAATGCCATGGTGGAGGGCCTGGGATTATTTTATGTACTTCCATTGCTGAACAAGCCGTCAGCACAATTACTGCCCTCCGAGTGAATGACTGATCTGTAACCACAGCTAAACAGCATGCTGCTTAGGGGCCTGGGTGCTTCATGAAGATGAATTTCCATACCATCAAAGTGCTTTTAATGGGCTTCCTGATCCAACCACAAGGCCTGCTTTGCAAGTATATAGAAGTCAGGATGAAGGCTTCCTGTCCAAAAGGATTTGGTCGGTTGTCACTTGACAATTCCCAGCCAGCACAAGGGAGGAGAGGGGGGAGATAGGTAGAGTTGTCTCTGCTTTGGAGGATTAAAAAAAAAAAAAAAAAAAAAAAAAAGGAAAAAAAAGAGTACAGATGCTTTCTGAATGCAACCAACTGCTGTATCCACAGCTGAATTCAATGTGCTTAACAAATAACGGCAATTTAGCTATGCTTGCGAGGAATAGCTTGAGTCACTTTGCATTAGCATCTGGCTGAGTGTTAAAGTCATTTCTACATGGGGAGCAGAGAAAAGAAATTTCTGCTCCGAGCATCCTTTCAAGAATGCTTAAATATTTGAATATAAATTCCTTTGTGCTTGTGATCACTTCTTCTTATATCCGACACTCTGCTTTTCCCTTTTCCCTTCTGGTACTCTTCTATGTGAAGTGCCGTAAACATGCTCCATCCCTCTCTTTCTTTCTCCCTCCCCATACCAGTAATCTTACTCTTCTCAGAGAGGCTGTATGTACAGCCAGATACCTATTACACTGACCTCTTTGTTCCTTCCTCCTCATCTCAAGAAAGTGCATGAAATTGGAGTAATTTCTACAACACTTACACCCAGGATAGGCTGATGAAAAAAGTACAGTAGTGAGAGACACACATGTACGTTTAACATTCATTACCCAGACTGCTGGCTTCTCACAGCTTATTGATCAAACTCCATCTAAAACCCAGGAAAATGGAAAGCTATCCAAATTAGCAATCTGCTCATTCTGGACAATACTGTTTGACTCACAAGCTTCCTAGAATGACTGACTTTCAAGTTTCTGCTAAAGAGCTGATCGTTTTTCTCTATTCTATTTACTTGCCTATCTCAGTGTTCACACAAGGGCTCCCAGTGAAAAGCCACTAGAAGCGGTTTCAGTGAAATTCAGTTTATACCAAATGCAACAACTGGTCATCTTTGTTGTACTGCATGACGAAGGCTACACCACCTCAGAAAATACTGCAGGGGAAGAGAGGAATTGAGAAAAAAGTCTTGCTAAGGGTACAATGTCAAGACACACACATACAAGAGTTTGGATGTGGATCTTAGGCAGCAGTGTTGTAAGGACAACTCACTAAAAATGTGGCAGCAAGGACTGGTAGGTCTATTTATCCTCCAATAAGCCAGGGCAGTGCACAGAAAGACATCAGGTATTTCCAGAGAGAAGAAGCAAATCACAAACTCTTTGACATACGTGGGAGTTACAGTACATGCAAATCTTACTAAAGAATATTCACTTTGTCTATATTTTGTTACAAGATAGCTTCACAGGCCAGCTCAAAAGCAGAAGGTTGTACGGCCCATACATTCTGCTTCCTTCAAGTTTCACTGCAAATACTTCGTGCAGTTTGTGTTGTCAATTCCCCATTTTTAAAATTTTGTTAAGTCATCTAATGTGACATGACAGAGCTACATTGCAATGGTCACAAAATATCATACATGACAACCTCACAAGGCTAAATACCCAGAAGCTGAGCCTGAGTATCAGCAAAGCTTATATTCCTAAAGAAGCTTGAGTATTTTCAAATCCAGCTCATCTCACAAACACATGTAAGCATTTCCATAAAGCAAGATTTCCACTTAGACCCAGTGAACTCCAGGATCACCTTCTCATAATACACGTCGACAGGCTGGAACAGAGAATTAGTGGCCTCCAAAGTTCTCGTGAGGGTTTTAACTATCTCTGCCTCCTCCCCAGTTTGCCCCAAGGGTCTCCAGGTCTCTCCCTCATGTCTTCTTTTGGTTGTGGTTTTCATTTTACTCTCCACATTTTTGAAAAAAGCACCTATTCCATTTTAAAACGTGGAAGATGAAAATAGAGCACAAAAAAGGAGTAAAAAAAAGGAGGAAGAACCTACATATCTGTAGGGATACATAGGTTTGCAAAGGGAGTCTTGGAAACTTACCTTTTCTGTCCTGCAGTTATTGAGACCCAGGCTATTCACAACGGCCACTTTCCCATCCAGCACCTGTTGTTCCCTCCGAAGTTGTTCCTTCATCTGTCGGGCCTCCTGGATTGCCTTGGTAACAGCATCGTGGTCATTTAAATAACCTGACGACGTGATAGAAGAAAGGATATCTTAAAAAAAGAAAGTTACAAGAAAACACTTTAGCTTTCATCAATGTAATGAACCAATAGTTTATTATTATTAATGAGAAACAGTTAAAAGCTAATGCCCAGAAACCAAAAGCTTTGTAACTCTTACTGTTATAACAGAGCCACCTGGATAGAGAGCATGAGAAACCTCCGTGCCAAAGTCATCGTCCTGATATTTGATCCCATTAGTTTCAATACTTCCCTGATGCTGCAGAGGTTAGCCCTGTGGTTTGTATGCAGCAGGATGTAACTGGATAGGAGTTAGGGGAAGCTTTGAACATGCCGGCAATCCCAAACTCTTAAAAATAGACTATTTCATTCTTCCCCTTCATAAAACTTGTGAATACATTAAAATAAACCACAGGTGGCGGTGGTTTGCTATAGATATGAAATGCATAATGGCTGGGAAGAGAAACCTCATCCACTGAGTGCTCACCACCACCTGTCATTCAGAAATGTATAAGAAACCACAGCTACACGGACCTACATTCTCACTCCTATTCATGCTGCTAATAGTAGGTCAAATGTCCACTGTTTTGCTGAAAATTCACAGCCTAGGGCTTAGCCTTAGTAGTCACGGAATTGTTTCCTTTTAAAATGTTACAAGCATCGCCAGTACAGCTAATACTCTTTAATTTTAAATGTGACACTTTGTCATTTTTTTCCTTTAGCGTACTGTAGATTATACTTATTATGATCTGCATGTGATTTGTAGGATAGAATACTGATGGGAGACTCCAAGCCTCAGTCTATTTTTCCAACATTAAAGGAGAAGCTAATATCTATCAATCTCCTACCCCCCTCCACATCCCCACACGCGTGTGCACGCACACACTTCTTTCTGTCTTTTAACTAGGGCATAAAAATGGCATAAAATGAATCTGTAATATGAAATTGCCCAGAAAAGGGACTTCTGTTTGTGACATGAGGCTAAATCTAACCAGATCCATTGGTGAATTGTGACAGATGGAGGGACTGTGAGACAGAAGGCAGGCACTAATCACACACAAAATGACCGGCTTGCCTCAACATGTTCCATGGATTCCAGCAAACTTTACACCCTAATCCATTTTTAGAACAAAAAACATCTGGGCCATAAATCCTCTAATCTGCCAAAACACGCTATTAAATCCCATGATTTGTTGAAAAACACTAAGATTAAAGAAAGGAAATATAAAATGGCTAACTGCCGTGTTAGGAAAGTGTTATTAATACTCTTTCTTTGTCTCAATTATGAATGTTCTGTTCCTAAAGAGCCTTGTCTAATCATGTCAGATTACACATCCTTGTTGTATTGCTAGACTCTTCTATCTGATCCGCCGATTGCCAAAAAACGTAGGACATTGTCTTGCTGCTTAAAACATTTCAGGGGAAGAAGCTGATGTCAGATCAGTTTAGTGCTGCGCTGCTGTCAGGCTTTTAGTTTGGGTTTGGATTTTATTGTTGTTTTTTTAGACTGCAGACAGAATGGGATTGGTATTCCCATCTTCCCTGGCACGCAAAAACTAGAAAGAGAAGTTTCTGTGCGGTTTGACTGCTGTTAATTGTACTAACAGTTAAGATTTTGGCTAAATACCCAGGAACCCTGAGAGTGAGATATTAAGTAACTTGATGCATATTGCTTTTATCAAATGACCCAGTTCAATAATTCCCAGCCAACAGAATTCCAGTAATTCCAGCTTTTCCAGCATCAGGAATGATATAACCTGCACCAGCACAGTGCTACCAGCTGATTTTTCTTTTACCTCCATTTTATCAACTTGCTTGGTTTCTTTCCCACTTTATATCTGTTACAGATCAAGCCCAAATAAATTAAAAAGGCAGCAAGCAAACAAACAAACAGAGGTATTACTGCTGTTTGTGCTCTTGATTAGGCTAGGTATAGTACTTTCAGTCTGTAATACAGCCGAATTTGCCTAGGAACTGGAATTCACGCCCTTCTCCAGACGATTTGGCTTTTCCTGAATACTGCTATCTTTGAGACAGTTTGGCACATGACAGTGAATAAAAGCAAGCACTCCTTATGTTTTTCAGTAGCTGCCAAGATGCTGGTGTGCAGGGAAATGATTAATATAGAAGCGAGTTGAATGTAAATTATTGTTGTTTAGGGTAGGTGGTGAATTATTGACAGAGAGGGGAACTGCATTACATAAAATGCACTTAGTTACAAGGACTGCCAAACTAGCACGGAGATGTTGAATATAATGGCAAAGGGCAGAGAGAAGTTGTTTCTGTTTTTAGTACACGGACATATGCCTGTTCCCAAAAAGAAATGCTTGGATTTAAAGTCATACATGAAGCCATGACATTTGTGACTGCTCAGTCTGTAGCATAGTTTATAAGCTATAAGGATAGCTCTAGAAAAGGACTACATAGCTGTATGCCTGAAAGCAGCTATACTGTTAAGCACAGGAGACTGTAGGTTTACATCCTCCAAAGAACTCAACTGTGCATGATCATTTCCCTATGCCACTTGAACCGAGCAGTCTGAAGAACTGCCTTCAGAGAACAGTTTTAATTTGAAGTTAGTGGCAGTGGACAGTGAAAGCTCAGCTGCATCCCAGCAAGGTGGGCCATGCACACCCAGGACAGATAACCTGTGTCTTGCATTGACAGCCCCAGTCATTCAAATGGTGGAAGCAACTGACTGGCAAAGGACTGTATGCTTGCCAGTGAACTTCCCTGGAGGGATCCATCCCTCAAAAAAGTGATCCAGTTTCTCTACTGTCTTTGGGGACCTTAGTCCTTTTGCTAAAAATACTGTAAAAGTTTTTTTTGTGACATAGCTCCTACTGCAGGGTGACTTTAAATTGCATGTGCACTTCTTTAATACCACCAAATGGTGATGGTAATGAGTTTTACTTGCTGTAACTTCGGCTGGATCTGACTTAGCAGTCAGCCGGAAAAGACCCTGTAGAGCATTCACAAGCCTTTTTGTTCTTCTAGTCCTCCATTAAAGGACAGCCCTTTGCTAGAAGCAGGCTATGTCTGTCCAGCTCCTGCACCACAGTTAAAGACTGCTTCTCCTATATATACCGTGTGCACAGTGATACTGCTCAGCAACCTCAAAAAGTCACTTTCTGTATTTGTCGCTGAGAGATATACAGCAGTGAACTCTATGTCATTAACAATAACTTAAGTATGTTATCTTTTGCTCCACAGTTTTCCATGGTTTATTAATGGTATAACACATTAATTCTTCTTACAAGAGTGACCTTTAAAGCTCCATTCATCCTCACAGCTTTTATCCAATTACATTATCACTCATTACAGGTACAGCATTTCAAAATCTACATTTTGTTAAAAGAAGTAAATTGCGAGGGTCTCAAAACCATGGAAAATATCAGTGGAAAGACTGGAGAGAAGAAAGCAGAAAATGTCCTGCCACTGAGACTCAGGTCAGATGCTTAACTCCACATTTAAATGTGATGCTCACTCTATTAGGGACAAAAGAATTAATAACAAAAAAATTGTAACTCAATGCATCGTACACAAAGAGCAGTAGGGCCAAGCAAATTAAAGATGAAATACACCATTACCTACAAAAGCTAAAGAGTGTAGTGCTAATAATATATGCATTAACAATTAACAATGTGATTATTTTAAACATTTTTATGCAATTGTAGCATGTCGTACCAAACAAAGTTATTTTATTTTCTAAAAGGCATAGAAGCATATTGTGTGCCCAGTGGGAGAGTAATATAGTGGGAGATAGACGTCTTTTGAACCATGGACATAACTATGGGTCTTCCTGGTGAAGATGTAGGTAGAATACATACTACAGAAAGTTTGGGAGAGACCCATAGAGACAAAAAAAATTTACTATATCACACTGAGATAATTGCAGAAACAGCTTCTGATAGGCTTGACCTATGGCTTCTTTTGTTCTTTGTGCCATCTCTGAAAGTGGCCAGCAGGAGATGTTTTGGGAGCAACATGACACACAGTATCAAAGATACAAAAATCTACTTCACTTAACTCCCTAAACATCGCTTCCTTTACATCCTGAAATCTTAATTCTGGTTCTATTCCATCATTTCATGGAATAAAATATTTCAGTTAGAAGGCTGAAGAATGGGGTGTGTACACATTTTACTTACACACACAGTGAACAGTCCCTTAAACACATCAGACTTGTAAAATCACCACTAGTAGAGTTATTATTCAGATGGTCTTTAGGCAAAGAGGTAACTCTGACAGAAGGAAGAATCAACACTATTTTGTGGAACAATGTGAAGAACAGCCAGTCAAGATTTTTTGCAAGAGATAAGATCAAATGTGGTTTTGTGAGTGAGCCTTGCTTATTAAACCAAGGTAAAATTATGTTCCATGTAGCTTTTTGGCCAACGAAAGATGTGCTGTAATTTTGCAAATATTTATTTGCACATGTCAACTTTTAACCTAAAGGGAAAGTTTTAAAAAGTTTATCCTTCACTTTTAGATGACATAGGACAATATCATGGGTCATTAATGCCCACTATTAAACAGGTCACTGTCTTTAATGTATGGCATTAAACAAACAGCATTTATTAATTTCTATTGATAAAGCAGTATTTGAAGTAACACCGGTCTTTGTTTTCTGAGTCTGTAAAAGTTAATATACTCCTCCTGAAATGGCAAGTCTGTGGGAGTTTCTTTACTGACACCAACAAATGTCATATTATGGTCAATCCGTGACATTGTTTGGCACTGGCTGATAAATGTCCACTTTCCAATAATATCTATTAATTGTTTTAAAGAGAGACAAATGAAACTGAGCTTACCTATTGTGTTAGCTCTGGCTGAAGGACTAGTTAATGTTGCTGGCACGGAGGATTTTAGTGAACTGGCCCCACTGTTTATTCTCAGAGTTGGCATATGAGGAGAGGTGGGTGATGTGGGAGACTTGCCATCAGATGTCTTGGGTTTGGCTGAAAGGTTCAGAGGCTGGGCCACTTCATCCTACAACAAGAAGGAAAAAGAATGTTATTAAAAAACTGCTGTTGGCACAACACTGTTGAAGCAAAGTCAGTTGTCTTCAACTCACATAAACTTCTAACCCTGAAAGGCTATATGATACCTAGTAAGATCAAATGTGATACCATCTTGTCATTTCAGTGTGGAACTGAGATGACAAACTGGAAAATCAGCATCACATAATCAGAGAATACCCTCCATTTGCACTTAGTATGTAATAATTGTATCTGAAGAAATCGATTACACCAACAAGATATATGCTTCTATGCTGAAAATGAAGGGCATTTTTACAGTTATGTTTTCTTGTTATTTTAATTTAAACATTATAAGGATGAATTAAATAAGAACTATAGATCATTTTCACTTAAAATTCAACCACCATCACCCAAGTTGGGCAAACATGTTTGAGTGAATAGGTCTTCAGTTGGGGTTTGTTGTTGGTCTTTTGTTTTGCATTTTTTTTGTTTTATTTTGTTTTGTTTAAACCTGTGTTTTCCTCTGAGCTTCCCAGGCTTAGAATTTCAAGCACAAAAACATCATAGGATATAAACACTTCTCTTCCAGCATGAAAGAGCAGGAAGAACCCACTCTTTTTTTCCAAAAATTTGAAACAATAATTTGGATAAGTCTGCAAAAGCCCTTAGATTTTTCTACCTTCAGCAGAGCTGGACTTTAAGGTTTCAGTAATTATTATTATTATTATGCAAAATAGAAAATTTGGGTGACATTTTTTGCCCAGTAACTGGACTTATTCCTAAACCTGGGTTGATTGTACAGAGTTAACAGACAGTGCTCCAAAGCACATTAAAAATCTAAGGCACATACTTTTGTTTGACCAAATGAAAGAACAATATGGGGAGGGGGAAATCCAAAACAACAACATGGAAGGGAGAAAAAGCTTTTCAGCAAGGGGGATATTTTAGAAGTGACTTTAACTGATTTTTAAATAACCAGAACTAATGGAAATAGTATTAGATCCCATCATCACATATAAGCTTAGCTTAAGAAAGTAATCCTTTTGCTACCGGAAATGTTGCATCACACAACTGGGTTTTGGCTCTAGGCACTGAAGCTGATTCTGATCTCCCTTTTGGCTCTAGGCACTGAAGCTGATTCTGATTGTAAGTTGTAAGTACGTTCACCTTTACAAAATGATTCCTGACTTACAGCAATGCAAAGCTGGCTGGAATTAGACTCATAATGTTTGAATGCTCTACTGTTACCACACAGGTATTTGTAACTACTATAATATAATACCAATTCTTTTCCACAGAGGGTGGTGTGCTGCAGTAAAGAAGGAATTTTACAGTTACCTATTACTTGTGGAGTGTGATGTAGATGTACGTCTCCAAACACAGGACAAGACCGCAAAGCACTGTCATATAACTTCTCCATTACTTTAAAGAAGCAAGCTTTGAGCAAAGCACTTTTGTTATGTTTGTTTATTTCTATACTTTTGTAATAGTCATGGTTAAAAAAAAATTAAAGCTTAGCAAACTAATGTATCAGGGACATAGTAGACAAAGCTGTTATCCTTAAAGTGGAATTTGAGCCATCCTAAATGCAACTTGTGCAAAAAATCAATGCATATAATGGATTTAGGACCCTATATTCTGTTTTCTCAGAAGGGACTTAGGCATTTAGAAGGAACTTAAGAGTTCTGTTGATCTTCTAGAAGATATAAGCCTCAAGGCTAAAATCATTGCCCAGTCCAACCAGCATTTGACATTTTAAGAAGGTATTCATCACTTTACAGAACTACAAATCCATCTGTATTAGAATAAAATAGATTAACATATTAGCCAAATGGAAGGGGACATGCTCTGCTGTTCCATCATTTTAAACTAAAATAAATAAATAAATCCCACAATGTTGCAACTATAATGTTGTAAAATCAGTATTCACATAGTTGTATAAAAGACTTAAGCACAAACTAGCCAACAAATCAATCCAACACAGGGACCCTGTTCCAGACAAGGATCCTGGAAAAGTAAAGTCATCTATTTGCATCAGAAGCAATGCAAAACTGCCTGCAGACTTGATTTGGTTCAATCCATGAGAGGTTAATTTCCGTATGTATACAATTCTTGACTTCTCTTGTAAATCTCAACAGAAGAGGCTGATTAGTTTCAGATATGGTAGTAAAAGCTGCCATGTGCTTACTGGCCACTGGAAATCTGATCAAGAGCAGCACTGCAACTCATATGGAACAGCAAGTCATCCTTGATGGGAATAGCTTGTACTCATTGCAAAACCAGCTTGGACTCCAACCTGCATCCTCGTGCTGAAAGATTTTTTCAGTCTCATCTTTTTGACTCAACCCCTTGGCTATCCTGGCCCTATAAAGTCAGTTTCTTTCCCCTCTCTTCCTCCCTCTCCCTTTCCTCAATTCTTCTGTTCCCTTTTTTTAATCTGGTGTGAAGGCAAGGTCTTGTGTGAGTCCACTACAGAGCAGTCATTCTGGTCTCATTTAATGCAAGTTAAAAAGTGGGGAGCTGTTTTTTTCTATCGCAGGCATCCAGGAAAGAAGTTGTCTGCCTTGTAACTATTCTTGGTAGTAAGAATGCTCTTCTTCATTCAAGTCAGCACAGATCTCTCTGGAGCCAAGAAGTATAAGACCTTGTGGAAATAATAGAACTCGACAGCTCCAGAGCTGATAAATGTCATTCCAAATTGCCCCTTCATTCACTTTCATTGTGTGTTCAGGCTAATGGTAAATTAATCGGAGGTCACAGAAGCCTAGTTCTCATAAAAGAGGGTAAGTAAACGATTTTCAGATATTATATGTATTACTTTACTGTTTGGTCATCATAACATTGTTACTTCTGTTATTTCGAAGAGAATTCTCAAACCCTCACTGAAGTAAAATACATTAAAAATTCATTCAGAGACTTTATCAATCCTATGTTGGATTGTGACTTGATAATAATTTAAGTAATTTCCCTTACCACAGTGGAACTAGACTAATTTGTTCTATGAGGGATTAAACAAATATCTGGGAGATAGGTGATAATATACAACTGTGTTAAGTGTGAACATGACTTAGGATTTTCATTCCTATACTCAGCCATTTCATTCTTTTTCTTGTCTGCAGACATACACTCAAAATTCTCTGCTCATCCAGTTTAAATCAAGAACTTGATTTGCAGTTGCATAACCATGAGAATAATTAGGTGCTCCCCTACCTTTATTTTTAACTGTAAAATCTCCCAGCTAACATTCTGTGACATTATAGACTAGCAGGATTCACTCCCAGTTTTATCAAGGCTGTATAGAATTGCAGCATGATAGCTAGGGCAAATAAGAGTGATAAAACAAACAAACAAAAGAAGTAGATGTTGCATGTTCACTCCAGGTAGATGGTATCTTTCAACAGCTAGGAGATTCGATTTTATACAGTGATCACAGAATCTAGAACTACACTCTGCACTTAGTTTTTGTTAGAGAAAGCTCAGTGTTTATTGGTCCCTGCCTTTTTTTGACACACAGTTATTCTAAGATAACATTGATAAAGAGGTTTATTTCAAGCCAATTTTTTTAGGGAGTCAAGTCTAACATTTATTTATATATCAGCCAAAACAATGAATGCTTAGACCAGAAGCCAGTAAGACCCAAAAGGCTTGTCATAATATAAATATAGAGGTGATGAAAGTAAAATATGATCTTGATTAAAGGCTATGAAATGTTTCCTTTAAAGTAGTGTATTTGTCTAACAAAACAAAACACACACACAAATAAATGTAGAAAATAAAGCATAAGCAAAAACGCACAACGGAGGGCTAACAAAATGAAGTACCCACAGCAAGAGCAAAACACTTGTAAAGAGATTCCCATCCCCTTTATCAGAACACTGTCAGAACAGTCTCTACTTCAGGGAAAGCTGGTGGCTTCCTTCCCAAGATTGGAAGGCTCCAAACCTCGGCAGCTCAGGGAACTTTAAATACTTGATTTGATCTAGATTTTTTTTTCCCAGCTGATGTCTAGACATAACAAGAAAAGAAAGAAAAACACTTCATCTACACCAGAATTTGGGGGGTAAAGAAAATATTCAAGAGCTGTATTTTATAGCTTCACTGAATCTGGATTTGTATAACTTTGAGCTTTCGTATTTAAGCATCAGACACTGGAAATCTCCAAATGTAAGTGCCTGACAAGCGACATTTAAACAGAAATACTGCTGGTAACTTTCAGTGTGCATCACACTGCTTTTACAAGGTTTATATGGTCCTTTGAAAAGGTGAAATGCTAGGTAAATACAAAGTAGTTATTAATATGGGAGGAAAAAATGAAAGAGAGAGAAAAGGAAAGGATTTGGTCACAGTCATACAGTTATGTAGCGGAAGAATTTAGACAGACCCAGGAATTCTGACTCGTGGTCACCTATGTTGCAAATACTTGGCCAAAATGGTGTCTTTTGTAATCTTTCAAGCATGCTGTCTCTATTTACTTCCTCCTAAGCTAAAAGGTTAATTTATCTCTATAGAGAACGGATACAGAAAAATAAGAGAATAAAATCTGCTTTTCAGAATCTTTCTAAACCATTTATTAAAAATGGCACTATTTCAGCACCAAGAGCTGAATAAATGACTGATAGCCCAGATGAATAAACCAGTTTCAGAGAAAGAAAAAAAAAGGTGGTGGTGAAAAACCAGACGATTCATTTGGGTTTCATAATCTCACTTTTCTTCCACCTATTTTAAAGATTAGTATACTATTAAAATACTGTTACTGAATTATTGTACTGTCGTTTAAATCCAAGTGCTGTATCCCACTGTGGCACACACTGAAGGTCCAGGTTGCACGGTTTATTACAAAATCATGGACTGCTCTGTGTATCATCTGACTGGCAATACAAATGTGCTTAAATGACCTGGCATAAGCACAGCCTAGCATGCTCTACTAAAGAGGCTTTTCATGACCTCTGGGAACACATTTGCCACATCTTGCTGCCTATTTAAATGACCTTGACAGCACAAATTACAGCC